TTCTGGAAAAACTAACAAAGATTAAAACAACAGGACTGCCAACATTCATCACTTTCTACTTTCTTCTGATGCAATGTGACCTCAAGTTCATGATTCCCTGTATTCTACTCTAACAGATTGCCCCTTCAAGCTGTGAGTCAACATAAACCCAGCCTTTCTTGAGGTGCTTTTGTTACAACAAGGATGAAAGGAAGTAATATGGTCCTCAAATCACCTTGTTTCCACAAAATAAACTACCCTTACTAAGTGTATAGCTTTCAGATCCACTATATCAACACAAGTATAATTCTTCAGGAAGACTGACAATCTATTCAAATATTGTCCAGTACATTCCCTTTGGCCAAGATTTTTCCCTTGCCTTCCTGGAAGAACTAATAGGGAATTTTTATTTTAAAATTTTATCAGGACATGATTTCAGACAACACTACTTTATACTTTGGGAAGTGAAGACAGCCTTGCTGAAACTTACAGTGTATGATTTGCTATTCCCCAATTGGGGTTGATATCATCTAGGAAAACTACAGTTTCTAATTTCATAATAAACTTCAGTATTACAACACTAGTTTATCTATGTCACAATCCTAGACTGTTTTTTATAAAAGAAATCCTTGGTTTCTACTGGTTATAACCATGGCAACAATCTAGCTCCCATGCTCCCCCCAATCAGGACTAGATTCATATAACCCTCCTGATAGATCAGTCAGAACCACATAATGCTAAAAAGCACAGATAGAAAATTTACTCAGTGCATTGTAAAGATGAAGAGTAAATAGTTTCAGTGATGCCAAGCAGATAGATGGTGGGTCTAGTGACTGAAAGTTTGACTCCTGGCATGTGCTTTGAATAGGGTAGAGATGTAATGGAGGCAGGTACCATACATCTGTGTATTAAGTTCCCCTGACCAAGTTATGGTCTAGTTGATCATTGTCTCAGTTCTGGTTCTTCAAATTAGGCCCCAAGAAATCATTATTGATTTTGTTAACATTATCCTTTCTTCTTTTTTTATTTTTGTTTGTTTGTTTTTGAGACAGGCTTTCTCTATGAAACAGTCCTACCTATCCTGGAACTCGGTTTGTAGACCAGGCTGGCTTCTCAGATATCTGCCTGCCTCTGGCCCATGAAAGTTTTCTTTAAAGACCTGTGCCACCACTGCCTGACAACATTATCCTTTCTTAAGAGAACCAAAACAGTTCTTCTCAGGTTGCTCCTTCTGCAGGTACAACCTCAACAAGAAGAATTGTCCTGGATTGGGTATAGTTGAAATTGTAGGTTATCCATTAGTGGGAGGTAGTTTAATTTCATTATCATAAAATGCCTATCTACTGGTCTTATTGCTACTGATGCCCAATGTTCTTCAAGAGGAGTGGCTTCAAGGAGGGAAAGCATCTTACCCAGTGGTCAAGAGTTTGAGATGTAATTACTTAGGCCTCTGTGCTGGATAGTTTTGTGTCAACTTGACACAAGCAGGAATCATCTGAAAGGCAGAACCTCAATTAAGAAAATGCCTCCAGAAAATCAGTTTGGGAGTAGCCTATACGGCATTTTTAAAATAGTGATTGATGGAAGAGGGCCCAGTCTATTGTGGGTAGTGCTGTGTTACTGGGCTTGTGGTCCTGGGTTTTATAAGAAATCAGGATGAGCAAGCCATGGGGAGCAAGCCAGTAAACAGCACCTCTCCATGGCCTTTACATCAGTCCTGCCCTTAGGTTCCTGTCCTATTGTGTTCCTGTCCTGACTTCCTTCAATAATTAACAGAAATATGGAAGTGTAAGCAGAATATACCATTTCCTCCCAACTTGCTATTTTTGGTCATGGTGATTCATAGCAACAAGTGAAACCTAAACTGTACCTTTTGCAAACCTACAGTGTGTGAAATGTGTAACCTTGAAAAGATTCCCTTCATAGAGCTGACCACTTGGAGTATGAAAGGCCTTAGTCTAGGAGAACTCTTACCACAAGCAGTACAAAGAGACCTGGTATTTGGAAGTACAGACAAGCAGAGTTGAGATATTGCTTAGAATCTAGTGATTACCTGTACCATGTACTTGTGTGTATCTTCTTTGTGTGTCTATAATTTGTGCTACTTAAATTTTTTCTACATACACCTATTTAAAAAATCCTTTTAAACTGGGGATTTACACAAATCCCATTCAGGCCACAATATGAATAATAAATGTGTGTTTATTTGAACTTCTTGATGTGAGAGTCCTGCAGACAATACACTTATTTATTTCTGAAGAGGATTTATGTAGACAGAATATCCCTCAGGCATTAAGAAGAAAAAGCCTACTAAAAGCACTTTAGTAAATTATAACTCTTAGGATAAAATATGACAATAATGATTTCTAAAGTAAAAACCAAAATATAAAACTGCATATACTATACATAATGTATTTTCAACTTTTCTACTCTTTAGTTTGTCTGTGTCACTGAAAAAGCTACTTGTGGAAAATTAATTTGGATCTTAGAAGACATGAACTCCTTTGTTCATGTATAATTTGATACATTGTTTTGAACATGAGCTATGTATGGTGAAAACATTTACCAATAGTGATGTGTGGTTACTTCTTGCCATGTGATTATTCTTTCTACTTTCAGCATTTAGTGGGTAAGCAATTAGACATCTCAGATAGTGAAGTCAAAGATTGCCAAATTTATATGCTAACTCGTGGAAAAACAGGGATTATTAACACTGGTTATCATGAAATAGACTATGCATGCACCACAGGCATGATAACACAGGAGTGCAACTCATCTGAGCAGCACACTAGAGCTGACCCTGTTGTTGGGGCACAGGTTCCAGGCCTGAGATTGTGAGAGTAGGAGAGCTGATCCTGCCCCCACCCTTCTCTGTGTACCACCTACAACAATCAGGAGAGAGGACCCTACAAAATAGTAGAGCTGACACTGGTGGTGTGAGTTCAGCGGAGCAGTACCTGAGGATCTGTGAGCAGGAGAACCGGCCCCTCCACTTGCTGTAGGCTGCATTGGGTAAGCTACCTGAGACAGTACTGGAGAGTTAGCCTGGGTATTGAGGGAAACCTTTCTGGCTGAGCAACCAAGGTATCACCCAGGCCCAGAATCAGACCTATGAGTTAGCCTGCCCCCAAATCCACTGTATTTATGAACTGTTAGAGCATGTGAAGAGGACAAACATTCAGATACTAAGCTGCAGGATCTCCAGGACTTATGACAACAACAGGATATTCAATAGGAACTCCAGAGAAAGCCCGTTTTTTGATAGTGTAGCAGAAGCCAGAGGTCTCAGATCACACCTATCACTCACAGCAATGAACACTAACAAGTACAGATCAGTGGACTAAAGGGTGAAACATGTGACTCAATGGACCACACTACAGCTTCCCAAAACAAGATTCTACTCCTTTTGTGTGTGGGAGGGGTTGTTGATTTTTGTTTTTTTTAAGTTTTGTTTTGTTTTAGGGTGGAGGTTCCATGGGCAGAGGGCAGATTCAAGGGGAGAGGGAGATGAGTGGGATCAGGATGCATGATGTGAAAACCACAAAGAATCAATAAAAGATAGATAAATTTAAAAAAACATAATTTTTAAAATCATGAAGAGAAACCAATAATCAAGTGATTCACTCCATCCTAGAGGAAACAAAAACCTTTAACTTCTCTGGTATTAACAATATGGCATTTATTTGAAACTTGTCTGCATTTCCCAGGGTTATCTTTGCATGGAAATCTGAAGCTGGCTTTTTATTTGTGTGACCTGGGAAAATAGTTCACTCTTTCTGCCCATTTGGGTCTTGGACACTGGCTTCTCTTGCTTTAGCTCCAATGTAGCAGGGCTTACAGGAACTTGTCACCACAGCAACTTAGATTATCTTGTTTTCCATAAGCAACAGGAATGATCATTCAATTAAGTATCTAGTCTTACATACCACATTTAGAAAAGTATCAGAATTGAATGCAAGCCATAGGTGAGTTGCAAAATTTTAATCCTAGAAGAAGTTCTAGTCATTCTCTTGTCTAATGTTGTATATTATTTTAGTTTATTTAACTTCAAGGAAAATAGCTATTACTCATTATTTTCTAATATATCAAGTTGAGTACATGTAATTCAGTAGATGGGAGATGACTCTCCCTTTGCTGGAGTTGCTCAGACCACTCTGTGTCCATATAGCTATATGGCTGCTTCAGGTCACACAGTGTGCTTCTTTAAGTTATATTTGCACTTCTATTCAAGGAATGTTTAGTAAATTAAGGAATGATGCCTGATTTTAAAAGCCAACTTGCTACACTAAAGAATCTCCTGGAAAGATAGTCTCCTCTGAAGAATTACCTTACATAGGCCTGTGGGTGTATCCATGAGGGACTGTCTTGATTGTCAGTTGACTCAGCCCACCCTAGGTGGCATCATTCCCTAGCCTAGGCCCTGAACTGTATGAGTGAAGAAAGGTAGCTCAGCCAGCAAACAGGCAACATGGATGCAGTTTTTCTTAGCTCTGCTCTTGTGTGTGTGTGTGTGTGTGTGTGTGTGTGTGTGTGTGTGTGTGTGTGTGTGTAAAACCGAACAGAAAGACTAGAGTTACAGGAGAATTCAGATGAATGAAATCTGACCAATAAGTGTTCTGAGGACCCAAGTTCTGTCCTCTGCCAGAGCAGCAAGTACCATTAAGTAACATATACCATATAGCAAGTACTGTATACCATACAGAAAGTACTATATGCTATACATAAAAGAGCCTTGTCCTTCAAGAATGTAGCAATGTGTGTGCAAGGATTAACTGCACTTAGGGATCTCAATGTCAAAGGTTAACATTTCACCCAGCTGCTAAAAATGTGTTGTGGATGATTTCAACTCTGAAGAATTATTTGAAAATCCTCAACTGGTTGGCAGCAGATTATCATTTCTCCAAGAGTTGCCTTCTACTTTTGGAAAATTTACTTAGATTGTGGCCCTGTCACAATCTCAGGAAATGTTAAATCGATGCAAAATGAGTGGATCCGTATTTCTAAAAATAACCTTTTCACAGGAAGAAGAGCTGAGGAAGAGCGGGGAGGCCAAGTATGCACACCTGAGTGATGAGCTGCATGTATTAATTGAAGTGTTTGCTCCACCTGGGGAGGCTTATTCACGGATGAGTCACGCCTTGGAAGAGATTAAAAAATTCCTGGTTCCTGTAAGTGGTTTTCAAATTTACAAACTGTTTCTTATTGGTTCCTATTTGAAATTGTGTCTTTGATCTCTAGTGACTTTTTGGAAGGGAGTTCACACTGCACAGTAGTTTCCTATACATAGATTTGATACACATCTTAAATAAATTGGGCACACAGGACACATATTACAAGATCTAGCATGTTGGTACTTTCTACTAGTCTGACATGAGTATTCATCACCAGCCTGTGTATAGTATAATCAGTCCACAGCCAGAAACACTAGTAAGAGAAATGTATACAAAAAATACACCATTTATGTCACCTTTCCCCATTTTAAGCCCTTAACATGTATTTTGATAATCTATAATTAATAGGAAAATATAGTATAAAAATAAGTATGAGACTGAATATGTATTATTTATACTAAGACAATGATAATTTTTAAAATAACAAATGTCTTTTGTGTGGTAGCATGTCAGGTAATATAAGGTAATATTAATAGAGGCAGATAAAAATTAACATAGAAAGTTAGAAATTTAAACTCACCATGCAATATCAGAAAAATAGAGGATGCTCATTTAATAAGGTGGCAAATTCAACTGCAAATTGAGTCAAGTTCTCTACTGATTTCCTAAGAGACAGAGGAACATAAATTCATGTAGTCTTAAGGTTGACAATTGAACGTTCTAGAAACAAGGGCTTCAATAGAGGTCTTGCCAAGAGGCTTGAGATTGTGAGATATTGAGAGAATGCTGAGTAAAGTTCCCTGGAAGAGCTTGGAAAGATCCTCAGTCCAGAACATAGATAGCTGAGATTAATTTACAAATGAAGAAACTGGAGATCTGTATACTCAGTAAAAACTTCAGAGAATGTGGCTGGCAGATAAGATCCACTGACTAGTAGTGGTATAGAAAACTGGAAAGGACAAATATCAGGGAATTCTTTAAGTGTGCAAGCATTAAGGTCTAGCCACATTTTCTAGTTACATGTCCAATCCCAACATTAATCTTTGTCAAGACACAATTATAGAATAATGTCACACTAACTTGAGTATTTCTTTATTGCATGTGCACTGTTACTATTTGAGTCTCATCTGGAAACTCTCCTAAATAGATCTCATTCTGAAGATTGATGATGCTCATTCTTGCTTCCTTTGGTTTTCCAAGAAAATATTTGTGCTAGGTTCAATAAGGCATTTTAGTCTATTTAGTTAGAAACAGACCAGATAAGCATATGTATAGTGAGGTCAGGTCTGTGTATATCAAAATCTATTTGTATGGCTTTAGATAAGTTACTTAAATGTTCACAGGATCAGTTTATGTATCTTTAAGATGAAAATGGTCACAAAGTAGTTCAGTCGCAACTATTGTGAATATTAAACAGGATAATATATGTAAAAGGTTTAAAAATAAAAAAGCATTGGTGAAATTGATTTTTAAAATCTATTATAATAGAAAGACCTTTGAATGACGTTATAAGGTAAAATGTGTTAGACACAGTTAATACGTCTTTTGTGTTTAGAAGTATTACCTATGTCTATCTATCTACCTAGATATAGAGGAAAAATTATTAAATTACAAATTTCTCCCATTATTTTCCTCCTTAAAGACTCTCCCATGCAACCCTCCCTGCTATCCTTCAAGTTAAGGAAATCCTTTATTCACTAATTGTTATTTTATGCATATACATTCCTACATACATATTTGCATATATATATATATATTCCTAAGTATAAATTTCTCAGTCAAGAGTGTGCAAGAAGAAGTTGATACTGAGGCAGGAGCCAGAGCTCAACTCTGCCCTGAGTAGGGGTGGGAATGACCCAACAATCTTAGCAGGCTTACAGCAGGACCAAGCACTTGGTCCTCCAGGGACAAGTCAACCAGCCTGCAATCCCCAGTTCAGGAAAACTGAAAGCTGAAATAGAGACCATAAAAAGAATACAGTCTGAAGGAATACTGGAATCAGTAAAGGTGGGAAAATGATCAGGAACTACACATGCAAGCATAACCAACAGAATACAAGAGTTGGAAGAAGAATCTCAGGGATTGAAGATACACCAGGAAAAATAGATTCATCAACCAAAGAAAATCTGAAGTCCAAAAAATCCCTAACACAAAATATCCAGGAAATATGGGACATCAGGAACAGGACAAACCTAAGAATAATAGGTATAGAAGAAGGTCAAGAAATCTACCTCAAAGGTGCAGAAAACATATTCAACAAAATCATATATGAAACTTCTCAACATAGAAAGATATGCCAATGAAAGCACAAGAGACCTACAGAACACCAAATAGAATGGACCACAAAAAATGTCCCCTCACCACATAATCATTAAAGCACCAAACATACAGAATAAAGAAAGAATATAAAGAGCAGCAAAGAAAAAAGGCCAAGTACCATATAAAGGCAGACCTATCAGAGTCACACCTGAATTCTCCATGGAAGCCAGAAGGTCCTGGATAGATATTCTACAAACATTAAGAGACCACGAATACAGGCCCAGACTACTATACCCAGAAAAGCTTTCAATAACTATAGATGGAAAAAACAAGATATTCCACGACAAAACCAGATTTAAACAACACATATCCACTAATCCAGCCCTACAGAAAATACTGGAAGGAAAACTCCAACCTATGTAAGTTAACTACACTCACAAAAACATAGGCAGCAGATGATCCCACATTACCAAAAGCAAAAAGGAAAGCAGGGTAAATCCACAAATAATGCCCCACCAACAACAAATCAAAAACAAACATGTTTTAACCCTCACTGGTCCTTAATTTCCCTCAATATTAATGGTCATAATTTGCCTATAAAAAGACACTGGCTAACAAAATGGATATGAAGACAGAATCCATCTTTCTGCTGCATACAAGAAACACACCTCAGCCTCAAAAACAGACATCACCTCAGAGTAAGGGTTGGAATAAGATTTTCCAATCAAATGGACCCAAGAAACAAACCGGTATAGCTATCCTAGCAACTAACAAATTAGACTTCAAGCTAAAATCAATCAAAAGAGATGAATAAGGCCATTTCATATTCATCACAGGAAAAATCAATCAGAAAGAAGTCTCAATTCTGAACATCAATGCCCCTAATACAAAGACACCCACATTCAAAAAGAAACATTACTAAAATTCAAATCACACATAAGATCTCACACACTTGTAGTGGGAGACTTCAACATCCCATTCTCACCACTAGACAGGACCACCAGACAGAAACATAACAAGGAAGCAAAGGAACTAACAGAAGTTATGACCCAGTTGGGATTAACAGACATCTATAAAGCATTCCATCCAAATACAAAAGAATATACCTTCTTCTCAGTGACACATGGGACCGTCTCTAAAATCAACCACATACTTGGCAACATATCAAACCTCAACAGGTACAAAAAAATGGAATAACCCTCTGTATCTCCTGAGACCACCATGCTTTAAAGTTAGAATTCAACAACACAAATTGCAGAAGCCCCACAAAATTATGGAAACTGAACAATTCTCCATTTCACCATTCCTGGGTCAAGGAAGTAATAAAGAAATTAAAGACTTCCAAGAATTCAATGGAAATGAAGGCACAACATACCCAAACTTATGGGACACTTTGAAAGCAGTACTAAGAGGAAAACTCATAGCACTAAGTGCCGCATGAAGAAAGTGGAGAATAGTCACACTAGAGAATTAACAGCACAACGGAAAGCTCTAGAACAAAAAGAAGCAAACTCACCCCAGAAGAGTAGAATCCAGGAAATAATCAAACTGAGGGCTGAAGTCAATAAGTTGAAACAAAGAACACAATACAAAGAATCAATGTAACAAAGAGTTGGTTCTTGTAGAAAATAACCAAGATAGGCAAAACTTTGTCCAAACTAACCTAGATTCAGATGAAATCAGAACTACTATGTCTGCTTATTTGGTGTTTGTATATTTGTGGTCTCTGAATACTAATCTGTGATCAGTTTCTGTGGAACTGACTAGAAAAAAACAGGTTTTTTTTCCTATAATGTTGTTGCCATTGCAGAGAACATGCTAGTCTTCCTTCATGTCAAAGGTGGCCATTGCAGATTCTGCCCTCACCATTCTTTACAGTACCCTCATTTGTTTTTGTGTTTACATAAAATGACAAAAGTATAAAAGGGAAGGTTAAGCACCTTTATACAAAAATATTAAAGTTTAAGGATAAAGTTACATAATGAAAATATGTAAAGTTCTAGCATATATTCTGGCACTTAGTGGGCCAAACAGAAAATAAAATAAAATAAAAAATAGACTGAGGAAACCAGAACTACCTAAACTTTGCTCACTATTGTGTGTAACTTTAAGAAGAGTTTGCGATCTTATGAAGAACAATACACACAAAGATGGGATTACTTAAAAACTGACTTCCTGCTGTGTTTGTTAAGCCAAAACCTTTTCCTTCAATTGACATAATCCAGTCACATGGAAGGTAGTGTGAGCCCCTACTGAGTAAAGATATAATGACGTTCCTAGTGTGTACAGTGTACATGGTGCTGGGACAGCATGGCAATGGACACTTAGACTCTGTCTTTTGTTTGTTTGTTTCTTGACTGACATCTGAGATGTTGTTTGTTCACTTTCTTCTTAAATTTAGAATTTTATGACTTGTGTTCTATAAATAGACATTCCAGCTTTTGTCATGTAATAGAACTAGTAAGATTTTATAATTTTGAGCATTTCTAATTGGTTTTTTTGAAACCCTGTCTCTCATCTGGGATTTAACATTTTCCAGCCATTACTGAACATTTGTTTCAGTCACAATAAATTTTGAGCTCACAGATCCTTTTAATAATCTTGCCCAGTCCCACAGGTCCTTTGTGCTACCTGGGGCACACTGAAGGGAAGAAAACACCATCTGCTTTTAGCACATTTTTTCCCAAAAATGAGTTACATTTACCCCCATTCTGCCCCCTTCCTTCTCATTTCTAGTCCTATTTGAGGAAATTAATCACTTTCTAGAAGATGATTTACATACAAAGGTAGAAATTTAA